AGATAGATAGATAGATAGATAGATATATATACATATATATATATAGAGAGAGAGAGAGAGAGAGAGAGAGAGAGAGAGAGAGAGAGAGAGAGAGAGAGAGAGAGAGTCTGCTCCTTTTGGCGGGTTGTGAATACTGGGAGAGTGTAGTGTAGTTCTTTCTTGTGTCCTCGGTGGATTTGGATCTTAGGATTTTAGGAGTTTTTTAGGATTTTTGGTCGACTCGAGATATTTATCATTGTCGGTTTCTGACAACTTCAGACRTTCTTTTTTGTCCATCGTTGCAAGGGCCCTGAGACATGTTTGGATGGATTACGCGATCACGGTAGCGTAAGTGGGGTCACGCCGATCAATTGGAGAGAAGTACAAGTAGCGAGTGGGTTATCGTCCTAGGCAGGGTAACACTACTGACGTTAATTCAGTGAGGGTGAAGTTGTCTCGCTGTGTGTAAGGGACGTAGTACCTGGTTTCCTGCAGGTGCAGATCCTCTCCATTAGAAAGGAGCCACCTGCATTTGCTAGACTGCGATCAAGGGGGAGCTCTTCGAACCCCAGGATAGCCTAGTTCTGTCTTTTTTTTTTCTTTTTTGCTTTTTTTTGTTTTTTTGAAGAACCAGCCCCGACCTCACTAGCGAGGGTTATAGGAGCATGCTCCAGTATTGGTCGGGAGCCAGGATAGCCTAGCTCGATGATATCTCGTTTGAGGAAAACTAGCAAGAGTCCACGTTTTTCCTACCAAGTTGCCAGTTGTTTGCTGACAGCTAATTTTAGAGAAGTGATAGTGTCAACCCTTGCATTATCGAGCGAGCTTGTTTCGCGGTGGAATTGATTGGTGGCTCCACCTGTGGCGCATGCTCACGCCTATTTTGACCATTCGTCCGAGGCGAATTTGCATATATGCTGATCGCGAAATGATGTGGGATGTCGAGATTTATTATGGCTACCTTGTAGAATCAAGGGAAGTCTGAGGCCGGCCGTTGAGAGCGCTCAGTGTGCAGTGATTGCTCGATGTGTGAATCGGTTCGGAAACAAAATGTCGCTCCGTTGTCGTTCGACTGCATCTCTGAAATAACCGCTGCATGGCTTTGCATCTCTGAACTGGTGGACAGGAGAACTGTGGGTGTGCAGGATCGTAAATAATCATTCGGACAGTCTTGGAAGGATTGATAGTCTCAGACTGCTGGTCGAAGCATTGCGATGTGAAAGATTCAGAATGCACGCTGATTGGGGGCAGTGGGACTCTGGGGGATCGAGGACATTCTCCGGAGCGAATTCACGCTCATGGAGAGCCCGCAAAATGTACTGCAGTTATTTACCGGAATGCAATTATTTTTATATATGTGGTTTTTCAAGGATGCAGATGTCTGTGGCTGTATTCAGGCGGGCAAGCTGTTGTTTTCCATCTGTGCGTTTCCTTCTACCAACCAGCGCGTCGCACATCTTCTGTTCTCTCCTTTGTGTCTCTCTCTCTCACACCCACACACAAACAGAGACAAACACGAGTCGGTGGGAGTCCGACGATACAGTCTGGCACAGTCATGCTTTTCTCGTAGACTTGTGTACAGCGAACATAACCAAACACACACACACACACACACACACACACACACACACACACACACACACACACACACACA